TATTCACTGTGTAGGTTGGTAGTGATGTAACCTTATAATATTGGAACATATTCACTGTGTAGGTTGGTATTGATGTAACCTTTTTAAGATGGGAACATATTCACTGTGTAGGTTGGTAGTGATGTTACCGTGTTAAATGGAAACATATTCACTACGTTGGTTGGTAGTGATGTAACCTTGTAAGATGGGAACATATTCAATACGTTGGTTGGTAGTGATGTAACCTTATAATATGGGAACACATTCACTGCGTAGAATGGTAGTAATGTAACTTTGTAAGATGGGAACACATTCACTACGTTGGTTGGTAGTGATGTAACCTTGTAAGATGGGAACACATTCACTGTGTAGGTTGGTAGTGATGTAACCTTGTAAGATGGGAACACATTCACTGTGTAGGTTGGTAGTGATGTAACTTTGTAAGATGGGAACATATTCAATACGTTGGTTGGTAGTGATGTAACCTTGTAAGATGGGAACACATTCACTGCGTAGGTTGGTAGTGATGTAAATTTGTAAGATGGGAACATATTCAATACGTTGGTTGGTAGTGATGTAACCTTGTAAGATGGGAACACATTCACTGTGTAGGTTGGTAGTGATGTAACCTTGTAAGATGGGAACATATTCAATACGTTGGTTGGTAGTGATGTAACCTTGTAAGATGGGAACACATTCACTGCGTAGGTTGGTAGTGATGTAACTTTGTAAGATGGGAACACATTCACTATGTAGGTTGGTAGTGATGTAACCTTGTAAGATGGGAACACATTCACTGCGTAGGTTGGTAGTGATGTAACTTTGTAAGATGGGAACATATTCACTATGTAGGTTGGTACTGATGTAACCCGGTACAATGGGAACACATTCACTGCGTAGGTTGGTAGTGATGTAACCTTGTAAGATGGGAACACATTCACTGCGTAGGTTGGTAGTGATGTAACTTTGTAAGATGGGAACACATTCACTACGTTGGTTGGTAGTGATGTAACCTGGTAAAATGAGAACACATTCACTGTGTAGGTTGGTAGTGATGTAACCTAGTACAATGGGAACACATTCACTACCTGGGTTGGTAGTGAGAGTTAGAGAGAGAGAGATTCGTTATTTCCTCCAGAAATCAATCCGAAGACTATTGATACGTGAATTCAATCAATTTTACAACACATTAGTATTTACATACAGGACAATGTTATTCATAGTTGACAATTAATATGTACAGAAACATTCACAAAGGGATGGCGTCACTTGTGCCTCCATTAAAATACAAACTCAAGATATTGTTTCAAATGATAGACATAGTTTGCAAAGTTTATAATGACAGCATGGTATGTGTCCCGCACTAGGGATCGTGTGAACTGTGTAGCTGCACCTTGGAGAGTTGACAGCATTTCGTTGTCTTCCAACATTTCAAAATTGACATAGGTTTCAACATCAAGTAGATCAATCAGAAATGTGAAAAAGTTATTTCGGAGACCTAATAATTTTTCACAGTGTAGTATCACACGGTTGTCATAGTCATAAGCGTGCTTGTTACAAAGCAAACATTCTTTTGAGATTTTCGTGATGAAAGTTTCAAACATAATTGCAAGGCTGCTCTGTGTTCAGGGTATAAAAATGCTAAGTTCAAAAGTATGTGATATGTCAGTGATGTATGAGCTCGCATGTAACGAGACAGTCCTTCATTAAGTGATACTTTGTTACGCCACATGTGTTCTTCATATTCTTGTACGTGTTTGTTTATAATTCGTCTCCACTGGTGTTTGGGGGGAAATGAACCACTGTATAAGTAAGTATGTGAGTAGTTTATAAGGTTGTATTTGCACAAAACAGACTGAACATCTCCACAAATAGTTGATTTTCGGGGTGTATTAGCCATGGAAGCACATAATATGTGTTTTATGAGATTGTCACAACTAGTGATGCATAGAGAGCCAAAGAACTCGAGTTTACTTTTATCAATGTAGCCAATCATGATCCACAATCCTAAGTTTGCAATAGTGGATTCAGACGGAGATCTTTTATCTAGTCCCTGGACAGTGCGGGCAAAGTACCGCTGTGTGTTTTCTAGCAACCAAAGTTGCTGCCCTTTAATGTCATTCAATAATTCACAGCCATAAAAACTTGTTTTCAGAATCATTCTTTGCCATATCTTAACACTGGTAGCTGGATGTAGGTCAGTGTTATTTAGCCCCCAGCATTTAAGGGAATTAACACTCTGTCTTGCTTTCTGACAGCACTTTTCAATTCTAGATTTACATGTTAAATCAGACGTTAGAAGTATACCACCGTAAGCAGTGGAATCTGCTGGTGCGATGTTTTCATTGCCAAGAGTGTAGTTTACAGTTTTAACTTTACGTTTACGTTTATTAAAAATGATTACTGTGCTTTTTGCAGGATTGTATGTTAAGCGCTATTTATTGGCATATGTATGAACAGTATCGAGAGTAATTTGAAGTCCCTTTGGTGAAGTACTAAGAAGTGTTGTGTCGTCAGCAAGCAATATAGTCGGAACATTCACATTCACTGCGTAGGTGGGTAGTGATGTAACTTTGTAAAGTGGGAACATATTCACTACGTAGGTAGGTAGTGATGTAACCTTGTAAGGTGAGAACATATTCATGAGTAGATTGGAAGTAAAGTAACTTTGTATGGTGGGAACATATTCACTATGTAGGTTGGTAGTGATGTAACCTTGTAAGTTTGGAACATATTTACTGTGTAAGTGTGCTGTGATGTAACCTTGTAAGCATGTTAGGTGGGAACATATTCACTATGTAGGTTGGTAATTATGTAACCTTGTAAGGTGGGAACATAGTCATTGTGTAGGTTGGTAGTGATGTAACATTGTAAGGTTGGAACATATTCACTATGTAGGTTGGTAGTAATGTAACCCTGTAAGCATGTGACGTGAGAAAGCATTCTCTGTGCAGTGTGATAGTGGTGTAATCATGTGATACGGGAAGGTAGTAACCATGTAATGTGATAATGATGAAATATGTAAGAAGGAAAGTATTTACCATGCAGAGTGATGGTGTTTGCACCGTTTAAGAAGCGAAGGTTTTCACCATGTACGGTGATTGACTTAACCATGCCAGATAGGTAAGCATTCACTATATAGGTTGATAGTGATGAAATCATGTACGAAGGGAAGGTTGCTTTCCATATAGGGTGATAGTGTTTTTCCTATGTAAGATTATAAGGTATTCACCATGTTTCAGTGTAGGATGGTGAGAAATTCATCGTGTTGCATATCAACACAATTACAATGCAAGGTTAAACAATTAAGGTTGGTAAGCAAGAAATCAACCTGAATAATGCAGTACGCAAACAAATTGCTGATATATTAACAGTAATAATAATAATAATAATAAGAGTGCTTTTATAGCACGCCTCATCACATCACTTCAGGGGACATGCTCTAAGCGCATAACATATATACAGGTTCTATGTACAGGAAGAGTTGACGTCATAGATATTTCTTGAAGAGGTGAGTTTTGAGCTTGGACTTAAAGACTCGGAGTGATGGAGAGGTTTTAAGATCCGATGGTAGAGAGTTCCAGAGAGTGGCAGCATAGCAGAAAATGAATCTTGCACCAAAGGTTTTAAGTTTGCACACAGGAACAACTAGCAAGAGTTGATCGCTGGAGCGGAGAGATCTGTCAGGTTTGTACAGTTAGTTATCAAATCATGGAGGTATGCTGGACCAATGCTATAAACAGACTGATAAACAAGGGGAGAGCAGTTTAAAATTCAATCCTCTCACTTGGATCCGGAGCCAGTGAAGAGAATTGAGAGCTGGCGTAATGTAGAACATAGCTTTGTCCGTGACGATGCGAGCAGCCTGATTCTGTATTTTTTCTGGAGGCGCTGTAATTGTTCATCCAGAGATACCAATTAGTAAAACTGTTACAGTAGTCCAATCGTGATAGAACTAGAGATCGAACGAGGGTGGCCGTTAGCTTCTATGGTTAAAGATGTTGCGTATGGAACCAATATTTCGGAGATGGAAGTGACATATTTTGCATAGATTGGTTGATATGACTTTTCATAGACAAATTTGAGTCCAAATAAACACCAAGATTTCTTACAGAGAGAAAGGGATTGAGGATTGTCAATGGAAATGGAAGAAAGCTGACACTTCTGCTGTATCTTTGACGTGGGGGGCAATAATGATGGCTTCTGTTTTACTATCGTTTAAGACCAGTTTGTTGTTTGGTTCATCCATGACTTGACATCATTGAGACCCACGACTCCATGCCGGTTATCCTTGGCCTTCTGCTGACTGTCTGGACTTGGTTTAAAGCTATCCACCAATTGGGAGTCATCAGCATAAAAGTGCCGCCCAATGCAATGATCAGAGATCAGTTGTCCCAGAGGTTTGAGTGTACATAGTAGTGTACAGTATTGAGTCCCTAAAACTGAGCCTTGTGGCACTCCACATTCAAGGTCATGTCTGTTCTGACAGTGCCTGTTAATTTGAACAGACTGTACACGATCTTCTAGATATGATGAAAACCATTTTAGGACTGTGCCGTTTAGTCCATTATTCGATCCTGTAGCCTTGATAACAATGTTGCATGGTCGATAGTATCAAAAGGCAGCTGAGAGGTCTAAAAGAACGAGCAGGGCAATATTTCCGTCATCTACGGACATCTTGATGTTGTCAGAACACCATTTAGAGCTGTTTCGGAACGGTATATGTTCCTCTGTGGATAAGGCGATGTCGATTCACAGGCTGATTGTGTGAATGACAGCAAACTGCAGAGTTAATGTTACAAGACATAATGCACTTATAACATCTCCGACTACCAGGTCTATCATTGGAGTGGAATATGTTTGTATATCAGTATCATGGATGTTTTCTACAGATAATGACGTCACAATGGGCAAGGAGCCCCGAGAATACAGCAACTGTCAAGATTGTCTGAGCTCGTCCACTCTTTCACAACCACTATAAAAGCCGCATGACCTACCTATATCCCGTGCCTGCACAGACCACAGACGCCGCACCAGGTATGTAGATTAAGGGTCTACAGATATTGCTGCTGATCTTTCACTTGGAGTTCTTTGAAAGGCATTTAGAAGTAATGATCGTCACTCGAGGAGTTTCTTTCGGATATCATCTTCTTTTTTGACTGAACACGTTTCGGAGTCGTTCAATGCCGGTTGGCATATTTGTCTACTTTGCACTAAATTTCTGAAGGTGGACTACACGGTCAAAAAATCCAGCTTGCATCATTTGTACTCTAGTAGGACATCTAACCGTTATTATTTGATGGCTGTGCTCCAGCTGGACATAGAAGCGTTATCATATGATTGTTGTGCTCTGGTTGGACATCTAAGCGTTATTACGTGATGGCTGTACTCTGACATCTAAGCGTTATTACGTGATGGCTGTTCTCTGGCTGGACATCTAAGCGTTATTACGTGATGGTTGTTCTCTGGCTGGACATCGAAGCGTTATTACGTGATGGCTGTTCTCTGGCTGGACATCTAAGCGTTATTACGTGATGGCAGTACTCTGGCTAAGGTTGGACATTTAAGTGTTATATTCTGATGGTTGTGCCCAGGTGGAAAGTTCACGTGTTATTATCTGATGGTTGTCCCGGGTTGCACTTGGCAGTTGTAGACTTGGCAGCCTCGAACCTCTATTTTGTCGGGTGAGTTTTGTCACGCGAACACCGTGCTTTTTACGGTGGTATTTGTGAGGCAGCCTTCTGTTCTCGTGAATATGTGTCTAACCTGGAGCTATGGGAATGTGCTTGCTCGGCTATGTTTTGTTCTTGTGTAAAAGAACCATAATTACAAAATTCCCTTTCAGGCAATAAAGTATTATTCTAATCTTAACATGTTGCTTATCTGTAGGATTTGAGAATTATTTATACTGCTTCGTTTCCTCTTCTGAAAGTATTATTATTCTGCAGGTATTTGTAAGGCAGCATTGTGGTTTACATGTTACTTGCAGAGCATGGAATCCGGTACGTTTCCTATCACTGCAGGGACGGTTTGGTGTGTGTGGTTTATCACTATGCTACGGGGTACTTGGTTTAAAACTGCACTTAAGAGATTGCTTGCCAGTGCGGTCAACAGTTACTCCTGTCTAAAGTTGACGTACAGCGTTTGTCACTGCAGCTGTAGATGGTTCACATGTTTAATGTATATGGCTTATCATTACGGTCAGGAGTTGAAGTATGTGACTTTTAACTACCGTCACTAGTTGAAGTCCATGGTTTATCAATATTTCAAAGGAAATGATGTGCGTGTTGTATCACTGCGGTCAAAACAATATATTCGTGGTTTATCACTCCTGTCAACGTAAGTGTACACTCAGGATGTATGTTCTTGTACACTCAGGGTGTATGTTCTTGTACACTCAGGATGTATGTTCTTGTACACTCAGGGTGTATGTTTTTGTACTTGTACACTCAGGGTGTATGTTTTTGTACTTGTACACTCAGGGTGTATGTTCTTGTACACTCAGGGTGTATGTTCCTGTACTTGTATACTCAGGATATATGTTCCAGATGAATCACTACGTACACTATTTGTCACCTAGGTAAAGCGATGGTGTACAGTGTGCATCACTTACGTCAAGAGATGACATACATGCATTATTATCCTTTCTGTTAAGAGGCGGTGCCTGTAGTTTATCATTTCTGTCAAGACTTGATGCATATGATTTATCACTTCTGTCAACGTGTAATGTATGTACTTTATCACCTCTGGGCGACTCGATGTAACTGATGCACTGTGCACTCCTGAGGTGTTGACATATGTTCAACAAAACGTCAAGAGTCAATCAGACAAGAGTCAAAACATGATATACGGCTTATCACTTCGGTCAATAGTTGATGTATCTGGTTTATCCATACAGTCTGGAGTTGATGTACAGGGTTTATCATTGCGGCCAACATGCCATGTACGCGGCTTCCACCCGTCCCTTGTCAGCACAATCGACGTGAATCCACGTGAACCGTCAATGTCCACACGAGAGCTTGTTTATCCCTGAGTGGCTTATGTGTCCGTTACGTTTACACCTTTGCTAACTCTGAGGGTTTGTTTTACTGCATATTTTTATGTTCAATGAGGCACCGACATTTCGGAAAGTTTGTGAGGTATATTGTTAAATATGTCATTTAAGATACAAACATGCATCCCTGACGTTCTTTGTTTGTCTGTTTATCCAGCATCATGAGGGTGTTCCTTGTTATCTGCATCCTAGCTGTGAGTCGAGCTGACCTCCTGCAAGACATCCTCCAGAAGGAGAAGGAGATCATCCAGCAGGTCATTGCTAAAGAGCATGAGGGTTGGTCCAATATTATTTGTCAAAAGCTTCAGTCAGGTATCCCTGTATTCTAATTATCATGAACACACTGCCCGGGCCTGTTGACATTTGAATCTATCGTCCAAACCAAAAGAAAATTGCCAATGGCTTTGTCAGTGTAATGACTTTGTTGTGTACACCATGGGCATATCGTCAACACCAGCAGCCTGTTGTCAGTTTTGGTTCAGATTACATAAACTGCTTCACTAGTATCAACAACAGAACAGGGAGATCATGTACATCTGTCAAAGGGTAGCACTTGTATATATGTGTCATTTGGTACCACAGATCATGTACATCTGTCAAAGGGTATCACTTGTATAGGTGTCATTGCGGTACCACAGGAGATCATGTACATCTGTCAAAGGGTATCACTTGTATAGGTGTCATTTTGGTACCACAGGAGATCATGTACATCTGTCAAAGGGTACTGTACTTGTATATGTATTTGGTACCACAGGGAGATACCATCTGTCAAAGGAGATCATGTACATCTGTACCAAAGATCATATGTACATCTGTCAAAGGTATCAATTTGTATATGTGTCATTTGGTACCACAGGAGATCATGTACATCTGTCAAAGGAGTATCACTTGTATATGTGTCATTTGGTACCACAGGAGATCATGTACATCTGTCAAAGGGTATCACTTGTATGTGTGTCATTTGGTACCACAGGAGATCATGTACATCTGTCAAAGGTATCACTTGTATATGTGTCATTTGGTACCACAGGAGATCATGTACATCTGTCAAAGGGTATCACTTGTATATGTGTCATTTTGGTACCACAGGGAGATCATGTACATCTGTCAAAGGGTAGCACTTGTATATGTGTCATTTGGTACCACAGGAGATCATGTACATCTGTCAAAGGGTAGCACTTGTATATGTGTCATTTGGTACCACAGGAGATCATGTACATCTGTCAAAGGGTAGCACTTGTATATGTGTCATTTGGTACCACATGTACAGCTGACATAGCATAACACAATTGCATCTGCCTCCAGTCACCAACTATGTCCACGGTGTTGAGAATAAGGTCGAGGCCATCGCCAACTCTATCCACAAGAGGAATTTCCTGGACACGCTGAAAAATGGATTTGAAAAGTTCGGCCACGGTAGGGATACACAGAAATCAAATTTCCTTTGCTAAGACGAACCCTTTTGACGAACTCATGATGCAAAATAAATGACAGTAGGCATGGGATCAAGGGTATTGCTGGATATTGGAAGAAAATAAAAGCAAATTTGACACTGTCTGATACTGCCAAGCAAACTCTGAAATTTGGATTAACAATACGTATATTCCATGATGCTTTGTATTCCTATTGTATGACCTTCTGTCAGACAGGAGCATGCAATCCTGCATCCATGTTTACTGCTTCTGATTTCAGACATCGCAACCGTCGCCCAAAGTAAGTATTTTACGCATGCACAGTTTCTTGAGGCATTTTGGTATGAAATTTGAAAGGAGAAAGAGTAATGATGAGTTTTGAGTGAAATTCAATAGTACTCTTCGCACATCGTACCAATGCAGACTTTGTATAAACAACCGACATTGGCTTTTGGCTTTCTGTAACCGTTAATGGTAATGACGTAGTGTCACAAATGCGAGTAGTGGTACAGCAAATAGGTTTCTCGGCAGGGTAAGACCAACCGGCAAGTAATGTTGTTTATCGGTAACTATGCAATATAAGAGTTAGGGTAGGTACTTTCGGTGTTTGTAAACAAAGAGTGCGCATGCCTTTTTCTATCCGGATTCAAATGTCAGACATATGGGCACATCATTGGGATAATTGTTGTCATTATAATAAGCTGTGATGTTGAAGTTTCTGACAGGGCCGTTGTTTGGGTTGTTACGACATGTACATACGCTGCTGGGGGTTTAGTGTGGACAGGTGGCGTGTATGTCTGACAAAGTAGGAAAATAATGGGTGGGCAACTTGTCGCTTTGCGTGATGGCGTTTACGCCCCTGTCAGTGAAATGGTATTATTTGAACTTGGTTATAACTGTCACTGTCCGATTGCCTTCACCACTAAAGTGGGGCCTCTCCCACCCAGAGGTCCTTGCGATCAACACAACTGTTACGGACCAGCGAGAGATGGCGATTCATCGTATCTTTTTCAACGCATTCAACAAATGTCTACGAGTTTCTGTTTTTTTTCACTTTTAAACTTCACATTAGCATAAATCAAACATATATCTTGAAGTGATGAGAGTTCTGAAAATATCCCCCAACATAAGAACCTTGTTCCATTCGTCAGTCGCTTACGATGGTTATATGTTTAACAAATCAAATGTGTTATGCGCTCAATTTGATGTATATATATGTTTGTGATACTCCTCCCTGTCACGCCCGAATTTGTCACTTTGTGACAATACATATACATATGCACATTTTAATACACCTTGCCAAAAGTCGGTGAACACAATGTTTCACAAGTTATTTACCACCGTGAAGCATGGGCGCGTGATAGCTATGAGTTGTATACTTCAAGACATACAATAGCAGAACTCACGAACAATACAACTTCTCTTTCAGAGGCACTCCCTGTGATTGAGCAGATCGGGAAAGGTGAGTATTGAACACTTTCCTAGTGAAGTACAACAACTTGTCATGATTTATACACAGTGGTCACATTGGTGGTGATTCCTCTGTCATGATGCTTTACCTACAATGACACATTGGTGGTGAATCCTCTGTCATGATGCTTTATCTACAATGACACATTGGTGGTGTAAAGGGGGGTGCTGTGTTCGGAGGTTAAACAGCTAATGTTTGATGTTTACTAATTTTCCAGTTGACGGTCAGTATCTTTTCTCAGAGTCAATGTTTCTGCTTCATACAGTGAAGAGGCCGGATGTAGAGTAAGACAAACACATAACACATATAAAATAAAGCTCAATATACAGTAGAAAGGACAGATGTAGAGTAAGACAAACACATAACACATATAAAATAAAGCTCAATATACAGTAGAAAGGACAGATGTAGAGTAAGACAAACACATAACACATATAAAATAAAGCTCAATATACAGTAGAAAGGACAGATGTAGAGTAAGACAAACACATAACACATAGAAAATATAGCTCAATATACAGTAGAAAGGACAGATGTAGAGTAAGACAAACACATAACACATATAAAATATAGCTCAATATACAGTAGAAAGGACAGATGTAGAGTAAGACAAACACATAACACATATAAAATAAAGCTCAATATACAGTAGAAAGGACAGATGTAGAATTAAGACAAACACATAACACATATAAAATAAAGCTCAATATACAGTAGAAAGGACAGATGTAGAGTAAGACAAACACATAACACATATAAATAAAAGCTCAATATACAGTAGAAAGGACAGATGTAGAGTAAGACAAACACATAACACATATAAAATAAAGCTCAATATACAGTAGAAAGGACAGATGTAGAGTAAGACAAACACATAACACATATAAAATAAAGCTCAATATACAGTAGAAAGGACAGATGTAGAGTAAGACAAACACATAACACATAGAAAATAAAGCTCAATATACAGTAGAAAGGACAGATGTAGAGTAGGGCAAACACATAACACATATAAAATAAAGCTCAATATACAGTAAGAAAGACAGATGTAGAGTAAGGCAAACACATAACACATAGAAAATATAGCTCAATATACAGTAGAAAGGACAGATGTAGAGTAAGACAAACATATAACACATATAAAATATAGTTCAATATACAGTAAAAAGGACAGATGTAGAGTAAGGCAAACACATAACACATAGAAAATATAGCTCAATATACAGTAGAAAGGACAGATGTAGAATAAGACAAACACATAACAAATATAAAATATAGCTAAATATACAGTAGAAAGGACAGATGTAGAGTAAGACAAACACATAACACATATAAAATAAAGCTCAATATACAGTAGAAAGGACAGATGTAGAGTAAGACAAACACATAACACATAGAAAATAAAGCTCAATATACAGTAGAAAGGACAGATGTAGAGTAAGACAAACACATAACACATATAAAATAAAGCTCAATATACAGTAGAAAGGACAGGTGTAGAGTAAGGCAAACACATAACACATATAAAATAAAGGTCAATATACAGTGAAGAGGCCGGTTGTAGAGTAAGACAAACACATAACACATAGAAAATAAAGCTCAATATACAGTAGAAAGGACAGATGTAGAGTAAGGCAAACACATGACATATATAAAAAAAGTTCAATATAAAGTAAGAAGGACAGGTGTAGAGTAAGGCAAACACATATAAAATAAAGCTCAATATACAGTAGAAAGGACAGATGTAGAGTAAGGCAAACACATAACACATATAAAATAAAGCTCAATATACAGTAGAAAGGACAGATGTAGAGTAGGGCAAACACATAACACATATAAAATATAGCTCAATATACAGTAGAAAGGACAGGTGTAGAGTAAGACAAACACATAACACATATTAAATAAAGCTCAATATACAGTAAGAAAGGACAGATGTAGAGTAAGACAAACACATAACACATATAAAATATAGCTCAATATACAGTAGAAAGGACAGATGTAGAGTAAGACAAACATATAACACATATAAAATATAGCTCAATATACAGTAGAAAGGACAGATGTAGAGTAAGGCAAACACATAACACATAGAAAATAAAGCTCAATATACAGTAAGAAGGACAGATGTTGAGTAAGGCAAACACATATAAAATAAGGCTCAATATACAGTAGAAAGGACAGGTGTAGAGTAAGACAAACACATAACACATATTAAATAAAGCTCAATATACAGTAGAAAGGACAGATGTAGAGTAAGGCAAACACATAACACATATAAAATATAGCTCAATATACAGTAGAAAGGACAGATGTAGAGTAAGGGAAACACATAACACATATAAAATAAAGCTCAATATACAGTAAGAAGGACAGATGTAGAGTAAGGCAAACACATATAAAATAAAGCTCAATATACAGTAGAAAGGACAGATGTAGAGTAAGGCAAACACATAACACATAGAAAATATAGCTCAATATACAGTAAAAAGGACAGATGTAGAGTAAGACAAACATATAACACATATAAAATATAGCTCAATATACAGTAGAAAGGACAGGCGTAGAGTAAGGCAAACACATAACACATAGAAAATATAGCTCAATATACAGTAAGAAGGACAGATGTAGAGTAAGGCAAACACATAACACATATTAAATATAGCTCAATATACAGTAGAAAGGACAGATGTAGAGTAAGACAAACACATAACACATATAAAATAAAGCTCAATATACAGTAGAAAGGACAGATGTTGAATAAGACAACCACATAACACATATAAAATATAGCTCAATATAGAGGAGAAAGGACAGATGTAAAGTCAGACAAACACATAACACATATAAAATATAGCTCAATATACAGTAGAAAGGACAGATGTAGAGTAAGACAAACACATAACACATATAAAATAAAGCTCAATATACAGTAGAAAGGACAGATGTCTTAAAAGTAAGACAAACACATAACACATATAAAATAAAGCTCAATATACAGTAGAAAGGACAGATGTAGAGTAAGACAAACACATAACACATATAAAATAAAGCTCAATATACAGTAGAAAGGACAGATGTAGAGTAAGACAAACACATAACACATATAAAATAAAAGCTCAATATACAGTAGAAAGCACAGATGTAGAGTAAGACAAACACATAACACATAGAAATAAAAGCTCAATATACAGTAGAAAGGACAGATGTAGAGTAAGACAAACACATAACACATATAAAATAAAGCTCAATATACAGTAGAAAGGACAGATGTAAGGAGTAAGACAAACACATAACACATATAAAATAAAGCTCAATATACAGTAGAAAGGACAGATGTAAAGAGTAAGACAAACACATAACACATATAAAATAAAGCTCAATATACAGTAGAAAGGACAGGTGTAAGAATTAAGACAAACACATAACACATATAAAATAAAGGTCAATATACAGTGAAAGAGGCCGGTTGTAGAGTAAGACAAACACATAACACATAGAAAATAAAGCTCAATATACAGTAGAAAGGACAGATGTAGAGTAAAAGGCAAACACATGACACATATAAAATAATGTTCAATATACAGTAAGAAGGACAGGTGTAGAGTAAGGCAAACACATATAAAATAAAGCTCAATATACAGTAGAAAGGACAGATGTAGAGTAAGACAAACACATAACACATATAAAATAAAGCTCAATATACAGTAGAAAGGACAGATGTAGAGTAAGACATACACATAACACATAGAAAATATAGCTCAATATACAGTAGAAAGGACAGATGTAGAGTAAGACAAACATATAACACATATAAAATATAGCTCAATATACAGTAGAAAGGACAGATGTAAGAGTAAAGGCAAACACATAACACATAGAAAATATAGCTCAATATACAGTAATTAAGAAGGACAGATGTAGAGTAAAAGGCAAACACATAACACATATTAAATATAGCTCAATATACAGTAGAAAGGACAGATGTAGAGTAAAGGCAAACACATAACACATAGAAAATAAAGCTCAATATACAGTAAGAAGGACAGATGTAGAGTAAAGGCAAGCCCACATAACACATATTAAATAAAGCTCAATATACAGTGAGAAAGGACAGATGTAGAGTAAGAACAACCACATAACACATATAAAATAAAAGCTCAATATACAGTAGAAAGGACAGATGTAGAATAAGGCAAACACATAACACATATAAAATAAAGCCCAATATACAGTAAGAAAAGGACAGATGTAAGAGTAAAGGCAAACACATAACACATATTAAATAAAAGCTCAATACAGTTAGAGAGGACAGATGTAGAGAGTAAGACAAACACATAACACATATAAAATATAGCTCAATATACAGTAGAATGGACAGATGTAGAAATTAAGACAAACATATAACACAAATAAAATAAAAGCTCAATATACAGTAGAAAGGACAGATGTAAAGAGTAAGACATACACATAACACATAGAAAATATAGCTCAATATACATTAGAAAGGACAGATGTAGAAATTAAGACAAACACATAACACATAGAAAATAAAGCTCAATATACAGTGAGAAAGGACAGATGTAGAGTAAGACAAACACATAACACATATAAAATAAAGCTCAATATACAGTAGAAAAGGACAGATGTAGAGAGTAAGACAAACACATAACACATATAAAATAAAGCTCAATATACAGTAGAAAGGACAGATGTAGAAATTAAGACAAACACATAACACATATAAAATAAAAGCTCAATATACAGTAGAAAGGACAGATGTAGAGTAAGACAAACACATAACACATATAAAATAAAGCTCAATATACAGTAGAAAAGGACAGATGTAGGAAGTAAAGACAAACACATAACACATATAAAAATAAAGCTCAATATACAGTAGAAAGGACAGACGTAGAGTAAGACAAACACATAACACATAGAAAATAAAGCTCAATATACAGTGAGAAAAGGACAGATGTAAGTGGGAG